GTAATTGAAACCCTTGCCTCCAACTCACAATACCTACAGCAGGAAGGATTACTGACTGTGCTTGCAGCTCGCATTACAAGCGCTCTGTGCAGCGCTTTCAACGTGTCAGGAATTAGAGAGATGGCAAGGAATTGGGAAGATAAGCCCTACCAGCAGGGAAAGAGATGGATTTCCTGTGATGTAACGACTTGAAGGAAGGCAGGAACCCTCTGTACAGCAGCTGTTTGAAGCAGCTGCTATTAATATCGGGAATTGGAAATAGGAAGCACCGGGTAAAACCTCCTGCCAGCCTAAAAAAAGTCAGGCTGACAATAGAAGAAGAGGGATGTAAATGATAGAATGCAAAACGGGGAGGGTTCATTAATTCATTTCGGCCAATATAACATCAAGAAGATGGAAAGAAAGTTCCAGAAGGGTTCCTGCCACCTGTGGTCCCCAGGGAAGAGTCTCAGTTCTTTTTTACCCCTCCCTACAAAGACCAACACCAAATTTATTTGCTCCTGCACCCCAGCATTGGTGTTGAACCTGCTGCTCCCAAGAAAGCTCTGCAGAGCTCATCAGGACACCACGAGCATAGATCTGTGGTCAAAAATATTTAAAGTATTTAAAGCTCACTTGAAACAAACTTAGTTTTTTGGTACGTTTGACAAGGAAAGATGTGCTCCTTCTTTTTTTTTCTGTGCTGGATTCTTAACTGAGAGCACTGCTAACTTATTTTTGTGCACGAGAAATGAGTGATTCATTTAAACAGAGGATAAAAATATATTAGTCAGCTGCAAAACACAAACAAACCAACAAGCAAACAAACAAAAGTAGAAAAAGGCTGCTCCAGCCTCTTTCACATTGGCTTTAAACTATCTCAGAGAGCAAAAACCTTGCAGAGATACTCTGAAGCTGTACTAAAAAAAGAGGCTTAAACAAAAAGAGAATTCCATATTGCTGTGAGCAACTATTAGGATTTTCAGGATAGATCAAACACAGGCACAAAAGAAAAGAAGACTCACCTAAGTTTATGTCTTAGATCAATGAAGACAATAAAAATTACAGTTAAAGGACAAAAAAATCCCAGCCCGTAATGAGTTTTTAAAGCAAGGCTTAAGCTGCCCTGGGTTGCCTGCCCCACCCCAATCCTCTATTCCCTCACACAGCCTCTCCTGAGCTGTTTGGGGTCTCTGTGATAACAGAGTCTCTCAATAACCATTGATGAGGYTCATTCCCACCCCTCACAAGGTTCAGGGGTGCCACTCCTCCCTCCCCTTTTTTGGGGAGGCTCAGCAGGGCAGGCGAAACCAGGAGAGCTCCATTTTACCCCAAACCCAATCCCTCCTCTGCTCTGAATCCTTCAGCTCAGCCCTTTTCCCCTGCCTGATCAACACCCAAAAATATTTTACTGGTGAGAAGCAGAGGTTTACAGAGAGCTCTGAGGTGGGGAAAGCTGAAGAAGCTTTCATTTCTCCACGTGAGCCTTAAAAAGCTGCTGCCTAAATGGGAATACTTGACACGAGACTATGGGGTGGACTGCTGTTCATTTATTTTTCTTAGAAGCCAAGGTTGATCTAAAGCCCGTTCCCTTCAAGCTGGCTCCCTGCAGGGCTTTAAGGAAGTTGCTAATCTTGTTAGGAGCAGCAGGATCACTCTGCATTTGCATTTATTGGTGTGCAGGAGCTGCTGGGGATGGAGGCTCCGCTCTTCCCTCTGTGCTGACACTGCTGTGGAGAGGCCAAAAAAMCCCAAAACGCTCCTAAGGAAGTGGGAGCCCTATGGGGCTGCTGGGGGAAGGGTAAAAATCCCAAATCCTCAGCCTGTAATAGGGTAGGGAAGGAGGTGGGACATAAAACTGGGGTTTGGAGGGGATGGGGTGAGATGAGCAGCACTGMAAAAGGGCCTTTGATTTCTTATATGATATTCTTTGAAATGATATATTGTATTCTTTGATTTTTTGTATTAGATTTTTTGATATAATATATTACACTCTGATACAATATATTATATTCTTTGATTTTTGTGTTATGTTCTTTGATATAATAGATTATATTCTTTAGTTTTTAATATTATATTCTTTGATTTTTTATAGTCTATTCTTTGATACATTATATTCTTTGATTTAAAAAAACAATTTATACAGTATTCTTTGATATAATATTTGATTTTTATATTATATTCTATTTTTCATATTATATGCTTTGATATATTCTTTGATTTTTATGTTCTATTTTTAGATAAAATATATAATAATCTTTATTTTCTTGCATTATATTATTTGATATAACATATTATATTCTTTGATTTTTAATATTACATTAATATATTATTTGATTTTATATTATAGTCTTTGATATAATATATTATTTGATTTTTTTATATTATATTCATTGATATAATATATGCCCCAAAATGGAAGATTTTACAACACAGCACTGGATTTTCTACTCCATTACCTGTTGCTGTAGTAACTTTCCAAGAAAAGACACTGAGTTAGGGAGGAGGTTGGTGGTGTTATGCCTTGAAAGCATAAAAAAAAAAGTTCAGTCTCCAAAGTTTGGCTCCTTTCTCTTGAGATTTCATCCAACTCCCACTGAAGTCAATTAAAATTAGTGTTTCTGGAGTTTAGTGGAGCTGAATTAGGCTCCAGGCAAGGATGGCCTGCGGATGGGTGAGGATGAACCTGCAGTCAGCAGAGGGGGAGTGTTTATATCCCCTGTACTGGGGGGAAAAGGGATTTAAATAGGGCTGAGAGGGACCTGTGCTTGTTCCCAGCTAATAGGAAAATTCATCAATAGTCCCTGAAGCAATGGTGGGGAGCAGAMAGGGAGAGAGGCACAGAAACTTCGGGAAATGAAATCAGCTGGARCCCCCTGAGAACAGAAATCAGGACAGAAAAGGTCTGGTTCTCTTTTAGCAATTAATTAATTCACAGATTGACCTCCTGAAGAATGTCTGTGCAGCACAAAGTTGCTTTAACAGAGTTTTATTTTATTCTAYCCTGCACAGAGAACTCAGCTGCCTCACCTGCTCCCTGGGTTTTGGTTCCATGCCATAAAACCTTTTAAAAATCCTTCCTGGGAATCCTTTTGGAGCCTTGGCAGATTCAGGGATTCCCTTAAAGGGGGTCAGGGCTTTCTTCAGCCCTAGAATTGCCACCACCAGAACTCTGGCAGAGAATCTCCAAACCGCTTTTTCTTATTACTCATTTTAAAAATTTATTCCAGATTCTCTCAGATATCCCACCCTGGCATGGAAATCTGGGCATCCAAGTTCAGGTTCAACAACTCAGCGTGTTTTTTTTTTGCCCAAGGTGCCTTTGTGAGGTCTGGGTGAGGAGGAAGGTGAGAATTCCAGCAAACACATCAGGKATCAGCCCTTGGTGTTTTGGGAAATCGAAGAGAGGGCAAATCTTAAGTGTTTTTTCCACAGAAATGTTGACCCCATTTAATTGAACAAAGATTAAAGTACTCACCTTGCAAAGCTTCAGCATTTTCTGTGGAGTCCCCACCTTGCAGCTCAGAAACCTTAAAAAAATGACGTGGAAATCTGAATTTTGCACACTTTGGTCTGCTTGCCCAGACAGCCTGCAGTCAGCAAACCTTGTGCCTGAGAAGGAAAACAGCCTGTGTATCTCTGCCAGACACAGCAGRTCATGGCTACCGCCCTCATTTCTGATCCTTCCTGTTGGAAAACCCCTCCATGCCCAGATTTTCTTCTGTAAATCGATGCTTTCAGGTCCCTCGTGGTCCTTGGGAGGGAAATGTGACACGGTGGGGTTTTAATCTTGTGGCTGAGCACGTGTACCCGTGTTACACCGAGGATTAATTGCTGCATCCTCCAGGTTTACTGCAGACCACGGCAAAGTTTCCCATAATCTGCAGTAAAACGGAGCAGGATTTAGCCAAGTATAGAAAGTGTCATTGATTGCTCCCTGGAGATGCATCATTTCTAATGAGAGCCCTAAAATGTTGGAAGCTGATAACATAAAACTCCACAAAACTACTGGAGTTTGCAGACTTATTACCATACTGCTCCCATGCCGGAGCCAGGGGGGGGAAGCGACGTAAATAATCTTTTTGGAATGGGGTTGTTGATGGGGGAAATGTGTAAAAATGAAGCTGTTGGCTGAACGCTGTGCGCTTATGAATTATGCATTTAATTAAGGGGAGCTAAACTGGTGGATTTRGGAAGTTCTGATTTACTGTGGCTTGTAAAATCAGGGTTTGAGTCCTGCTGCAGCAGAGAGGGGGCTGGGGGACACCCTGGGAGATCCCACGCTGGGGGATCAGCTCTGAACCTGCTCATCAGGGCCCAAGGCTTGGCCTAAAAGTCTTTCCCAAAAGCAGGGAATGGTAAACTTACAGAGATATCTGCCTTTCCAGGGTGGGCTGGTCAAATAAATCAATTTTAAGTTGCCTGGGCTATAGGTCTACATTGCTGAGGTTTGTATTGTGGAGCATCGTGTGGAAAAATGGGTGAGGAAGTGAAAATAGGGCAAGAATCATGGAGCAGAAGGAGGTATGGAAGATAAGGAAATGTGCAATGATCAAAAACTAATTAAWCTCCAAAATAGTCATGCACAGCTCAGCTCCTCCCTCCATGAAAATCCAGCAATCAAGCTCCATGTTTCCAGTTTAATTTTTGCCTTATTCAGACTGRAGAAAAGAGCTGTAACACCGAGCAGCAATTTGCCCTCTGGATTTTCAGAGGGGAAGTGCCATAAACAGAAATTATTCCCCAAAGCAGYCTTCCCACGCCCCTACAGCACTGCCATTCCCACCCAGGAGCAGGCTGAGCAGGAAAATGAGAAACAGCAAGGGACAAAACCCGCTGTGACCTCCTGAAATGGCTTTAAATGGGCTAAAAACTCAAGCAATGCTTACCTGGCCTTGGCTAATCCCTGCACCCCCAGAGGTTTTCCCCACAGCCGCCCCGTTCCTCCCACGGGTTCCGCTGGAAGGGATGCATGACGTGTGTCTGGTGTTTTCTAGGCTTGTCCTATACGTGGATCTTCAACAATAATCCCTTGTATCTTCAGGAAGATAGCCGGCGCTTCGTCTCGCAGGCCACGGGGAGCCTGTACCTGGCCAAGGTGGAGCGCTGGGATGTTGGGAATTACTCGTGTGCTGTCAGCAGCGTTGGGGCGCAGCGCCGGGTGCGGGGGCCGCCCACCGCGCTCACCCTCCGCGGGGACGGTGAGTGGCCACAGGGGCTTGGCGTCCTTCAAAACTCACCTGCTCCTTCTGCAGGTGCTGGGAATGCACCCCCACGTGATGCCTGTGGTTTCTGCCTTTTTTTTAATACCATTTTATGTATTTTATATAGCCTTTTATGTATTTTCTTTATGCGTTCTTGTATGTACCCTTTATGCATTCTGTACCCTTTGCTTATTATTATTACTAATACAATTTCTATTATTATCTATTATCTATTATCATCTATTGTCTATTATATATTATCATCTATTCTCTATTCTCAATTAATTATCTATTATCTATTATCTATTATCATCTATTCTCTATTATCTATTATCTATTATCATCTATTTTCTATTAACATCTATTATCATCTATCATCTAGTATCTAGTATCTATTATCTAGTATCTAGTATTATCTATTATCTAGTATCTAGTATTTAGTATTATTTAGTGTTATTTATTATAACATGCTTGTAATTCTTGTGGCCTGCTATTCCAGCTCAGTTTTGGGGTTCTGCTGGGCACGAAGACCCAACATCCCCAGCAGGAGGCCGATGAGCCCTGTGCTGTCTCAAACTTGAGGTTTCAACCTTGGTTGAAGCTTTCTCTCTGAAACACATAGTGTAAACTGAGCCCTGGCCTCATCTGGGGGTGGATTTTTTAAAATAGGGGGACATGACTTCATTTTTTAAGTTTCTTATTGGAGAATTCTAGATAGATCTGCTAGTTTTTGGAGTCTATAAGAATTGTGTGTGTGTTATACGCTGGGTGCATCTTCGGTGTTCTCCACCTTGACAAGATGTGCACCCAGGATCCCATAAAATACTGAGGGAAAACCCCTTTATCCCCTTAACCCTGTCTGCCTCATAATTCAGAACTGGCCAATAAGGCAACACACAGAGGGAAAACACCACCAGGGAAGGCCGTGAAGTGGGACACGACCCCGCAGTGAAGTTTGAGATGAAGGCACCAAAAATGTTCTCAATGTCACTGACAACAGGACAATGGCACGTGGCACGTTCATATTGCCCGCCTCGTGCCCATATYGAGGTTTAAATCCCACAAATCTTTCTGAATTTATCATCTAAGCAAAGCTTACACAGCAAATCCGGAGAGCTGCTTCAGTCGAGAAACTCCCCTGCACACGTACAAAAACCTTCCCGGCAACATTTGTAATTAAATGTTCACCGGGAGAAACAGAGACCTGGAAATCTCTGTGCAAAGTTTGCTTTGTGAGTTTGCCCACCTAAATTTCAATATGCTCGTGCTGTTTGCAAAGCAGCAGCGACAATTGGCGACAAAACTCTGCACAGAATCGGATTTGTGGGATAAACAAAACTCAGCTGTGCGTYAGGGAATGATGCTTTCACTGTGAATTTCATTCAATTTCACCATTATTGAGGCTGTGCTGCTCCGTAACATCA